TAATGATGATAATGATACTACACTACTACTACTATAATAATAATAATAATAATAATGATAATAATAATAATAATAACTAGAAGTACTCAGAGAGTGCATACCCCCGCCAAGGCAATACGGTCCCTAATGCAATAGAAACATTCACACATGAAGAATTACATTAAAATCACCTCTTTCTCAAGTACACAGATGGCGTCCGTGTTTTCCTATCTCGCAGTGCTAACGAATCCTTAAAAAAAAAAAAAAAATGGATCCTGATCACTACCAAATTTAAATGGCATCCGAGCTGGGCTGAGTAACATCACAGATAAAAAATTCATAAAACTCTGGACACAATTTTTTTTATTTATACAGCTAACCAGCTAACCAAAAAAACTAACCAACGCTACCAAAAGCATAACCTCCTTGGCGGAGATGTAATAATGATAATAATAATGATGATGGGAATAGTAATGATAAATGATAACTGAAGATAAGATGATGATGAAGATGATGTTGGGTAATGGTAATAACAATAATGATAAGATAATGATGTCAATATTTATATCAATAATAATAATATTCATAATAATAATAACATTGATAATAATGACAATGATAACAAAAATAATGACAACGCTAACGACAACAACAACAAAATTAATATTATAAAATACAGAAAGATCCGGACAGAGAAAGAGACAGAACGTAGGCAGAGAGCGCCGGCACAAAAGGAAGCGCGCTAACAATTTCACAAAAGGCTTTTTATTGACTTCGAGAACCGGGTAACATATTTAAGCAAAGCTGTATTTTGTTTGATGCACAAATATTATCGCCATTAGTCGCCACCTTATCATTAGTCATTATCAATATTGATATTAATTATTATGGTGATGATGATTATCATAGCAATAAAATGATGATAATGATAATAAAAATTATGATGATGTTGATGGTGACAGTGATAATGCTAATAATAAAATGATATAATAACAAAATGCTAATAATAATAATATGATAATAATTATTATTATCATTATCATTATCATATTATTCTTGTTATCATTGTCAATCAGTATTATCATTATCATTATTGTTATTAGTAACATTATGATTATTTCATTACTATCATTATTGCATCATCATATTACTTTTCTTATCCTTATGATTCTCATTATCATCGTTATCATTATTATTATTGTTATCACTATTATTGTTACAATTATTGTTATTGTCATTATTATTACTATATCATTATTTGTCATTATCATTATTATTATTATTATTATCATTATTATTGTTGTTGTTGTTGTTGTTATAACCATTATTGTTATTATTATTACTACTATCATTATTATCATTATTATTGTAATAATTATTGTTATTCTTATTATCATCGTATTATTATCATTATTATATTCATTATCATTATTTTCACCATCATCATCCTTATCATCATTGTCATTGTTATTATCACTATTGCAAACGTTATCATCGTCATCATAGATATTGTTATGATAATTATCATTATCATCATTATATTATAATTGATGGTGGTGACAGATATTGCTAATGGTGCAAATAATTTGATAATAGTAATAATAATAATAACCACAGAATAATAATAATAATAACATTGATAATGGTAATAACAAAATAGTAATAATGATGAAGGTAGTGATAAGGATAATGATAATATAGAGAATAATAATAACAGCAGTAGCAACAGCAACAATAATAATAATGATAATAATAATGATGATTGTCATTATGATTAAGATGATAATGATGATAACAAGAACAATAATCATGATAACAATAATAATGATAATAATAATGATACAAAAAAAAACTAAAAATAGTGAAACAAAAAATAAAAATAATAATGATAAACATAATTATAAATGATAATAATGATAGTAATAATAATAACAATAATAAATATCATCATCATTATCAAATTAATGATGAAAATAATGATAACAATAATAACAATGATAATAATAATGATAATTCTAATAATAATAGCAATGATAATGATAATAACATTAATGATAATAATGATAATGATAATAATGATGATGATAATAATATTAATAATGATAATAGTAATAATAATAGCAATGATAATTATGATATTAATAATGATGATGATGATGATGATAATCCATCATCATCATCATCAAAATAATAATAATAATAATAATAATAATAATAATAATAATAATAATAATAATGATAATAATAATACAATAATAATAACAACAACAATAATAATAATAATGGTAACAATAATGATAATGATAGCAGTGATGATAAAACAATAAGAATTGGCATAATAACGATGAAGATAATAACGACAATAATGATAATAATGATCATGAAAATGATAACAAACAACAAACAGAAGTTCCTTTACGCACACTGCCGTTACAAACCACTGACGATGGTTGTTAAAAGCGAACGACGGTAGGCAACGGTAGGTGATACTAAGGCGGTGGTAGACGATGGCAGATGGTAC